AACTTAACCAGGCACCTTCACCAGATATTGGTTCATATCCTTCGCATAACCCTAGCCTAACCTTAACCCAACCTTAGCCCAACCTTAACCCAACCTTAACCCAACCTTAACCCAACCTTAACCCAACCCTCACCCAACCTTGAGCTAGCCTTAACCCAACCTTAAGCTAAACTTCACATAACCTTGACCTAACCTAACCTAACCTTAACCAAAGTTGGACTCAGGTTTCTTCCCCTACAACGGACTCGGAGATCTTGCCATTACAGATCTATGGTTGATCCTCTCTCAATGATCAAGCAGCAACATGTTGAGTGGGACATCAAAACATTTTACTACCGGTAGTCAATGAAATTGCCATATGCAGCCAGGTCCTCATAATATCCTGCAAAACTGTACAAGTTCAAAAATTTGCCTTGTCAGTGCCCCCCTCGTACTGAAATGACAAATCATAAAATTATCAAATGATAGAAAGTTATCCTGTGTCACCACTCTCATGTGCAATGGGAATGAACTGCCAGGCCTGCTATCTTTCATGCTTGTGTCAACAGAGGCTTCTATGATATCGGAAAAAAAAACAGTGGCAACCTTGGCACTCCCTCTTCCCCACCGTCGCTACCTACTTCCCTCACATGCTCTTCAGTTTAAATTTCTGTTAAACCACCAGTACTTGGCCCAGCTATCGGCCGCGGAAAAAAATAGAGTAGAAACGTTTCTAGTTGGATGAATTTGGGCGCTCCTGTAGTGGCCCGTACGTTTCTTAAAATTGCGTAGCGTTAACGCTACGCGACTTTAGGAAGTACTGGTGGTTTAAGGCATCAACTTATCTTCTACCCTCGCTAAAAAAAAAAAAAAAGGGGCAAGTACGTTCAAGTCACAGCTGTAGTTTGGAATGGGCAAAAAAATCACTTCCTCGGCAGGTTCGTCCCATCCCTGTTTTTAAAGGCACGAATAACACCTGGTGGCGCTTCAGACATGGGGCATGTTAGTATTGAGCAATTTTCTTGTATTGTGGACAGGTTCCTTCGCAGGTACTGGGCCGGTCCATTTGAGTGGAGACACGGGTCCGGGCCATCCCTGATCTCTTGGGAAACGGCACTGGACAGCCCAGTCCTTCGGGGAACCGGTACTCCACTCAGAGGACAGGTACCAAACCCCCCCGAGGTCCCCCCCGGTGCATCCCCACCATCTCTCTCCCTCCCTCTCTCTCTCTCTCTCTCTCTCTCTCTCTCACACACACACACACACACACACACACACACACACACACACACACACACACACCGCGGCAGGACAGGATTTGCCACCCCGACAGATCCTGGTCCAGCTTCGAATCAAGGTGAGCCCTCCACTCCCCCCACACTCAACCCCCCCCCCCCCCTCTCTCTCTCTCTCTCTCTCTCACTCACTCACCCTCTGTGTGCATAGGACAGGATTTTCCACCCCGACAGATCCCTGGTTCAGCTTGGAATCAAGGTGAACACTTCAAAGAAAAATTGCGATGGAGGAGACTTCAGTCAAGTTCAGTGTGCCTGCCTCACATTCTGAGCCATACTCTGGGACAACAGGAGGATGCATTTGCTGTATCTAGGATGAAACCAGCAGCAAACAGTCAAGGAAGTCCAACACACGCACCTCGTTTCTTTCTTTCTTTCCAATGATTTGTTTTCTTTCCGTTTTGTTTGTTTGTTTGTTTATTTTTCACTCACCAGCTTTCTCTTCTTCGCGGACTGAATCACCTTTTCATCATAAGACGCCTCTTCCCACTTGAGTTGCGGTTTATTCCAGGGAAGTTTCTTCATATCTTCCGGCTCCGCTAGATAGCAATACGGCCTAGGCTGGACTTTTGGCCGGTCATCTTCCATGATTGGTGCAACCTCATCCTCTTTGCCATTCCCATCAAAGGCAGCCTCATCCTCTTTGGATAAGAATACATTAGCTGCTGCGACTGATTTCTGCTCAAGATATGTGTCCACGCGGAGGGCTTGTAAGCCATCATCACATGATGACGAAGCCCCCACCCCTCTGCACTGGATGACCCCATTTTCATTTCCATCTCCATTTCCATTCCCATTTCCTTCTGAAGGCTCTGGCACAGCTGATGATTCAGCTCCTGAGATCGAAACCGAGCACGGCAAACAGACGGTCGACAAGCCGGAGCGTTCGTCATCGCCAGCCCGATCTGCAGCAGAATATGTTCCAATGGTCCCATCAGCATTCCCAACATTTTTCCCTATCGGCATTCCCAGGAGTCCCAGCACTGCAGTCCCCATCTTGTTGGAGACCTTGCCGCCATTTTTCCCTCCGTTACTGCTGGAATCCTTGCCCTTCATCTTCCTCTCCTTCTTAATTTTCTCCCACTCTTCCTTCCCTAGCATTGCCTCCGCAAAGCAATCAGTCACGGTCTGGGCCTGGCGATACCCATCCTCCGATTCTTCAAATTGGACAACAACGATCCCCATATGACCTTCAGGATTGTGAAGTGCTTTCACTTTCTTGATATCATATCCCTTGAATAATTCACCCTTCACCTGTTGTGCATCTAGCCCGTTCCACTTCTGAGTCAGACTGTCCCTTCCCATGCGGCAGTTCTGGATGATAACGGTCGGGGGCCAAACGATCATCTTGCCTGTGGTGCCTCGCTTCACGGGTGTGTCAAGCTGCACTGTTGGCTTTCGAACCGGTGCCCTCGACCTAGCAAAGGCCTCCGCTTCGGCGTTGACCGCGGCTATGGCCTTCGCGTAACCCCGATGCTTTGCCGGCTTTCGCTTATCGGAAGTCTCCCCATGTCGGATGAGCCCCTTCAGCCCTCCATACTTCTTCGGGGTGTCGCAGATGTCACACCTCAACTTTGCGGAGGAAACTGAGGGATCTAGACATCGAACCTTCATCAATGCGGAACAGAGCGCGTTTGAAACCGTGAATTTTAGCTTTGTATCTTTGGAGTCCGGCCGCTCAATCGTCAGCTGTCGTTCAGGTCCTACACCACCCTGGTTTTCTACAAAACCCTGCTGCTTCCTCTCCATAGCTGCCATGATCGTCCTGATCTGGCTCCGTATTTCCCTCTCTGCTTCAGTTGCAACCTCCTCTGCATCTCCTTCATCGCTCTCATCATTGTCCAAGGAATCCTCCGATATTATATCCTGAGCATCATCTGCCATGGCTCATACCCGGTTATCTGGCCAGTCTTGGAGTCCCTCAAGCTTACTTGCTTTCTCTGCCAGAACCTGCATTTTCAAATAAGAAAAAACAACACGGACACGGCAGGTTTTGAGTTCACAAGGCTGTCGGCACCTTTGTCATGACCTGAGTTCGAAAAGACGGTTGTAACTCAGGCCGGCAGTGGTGTCAGGGTGACGGTTTCGTTTCGGTTGTGTTTTTTTTGTTTTGTTTTGTTTTGTTTTGGGGTCAGTTTTTTTTTTTTTTTCCCGTGCCGTCACGGCCGCGATGCTTAGGCCACGCTCGCGGCTGGGCCACGGCCACGATGTCTAGGCCACACCCGCGGCTTGGCCACGGCCACGGCTGGCCATGGCCGTGATGGGCCACAGTCGCAGGAAATATTTATAAAAAAAAACGTCGGAAAAAAAAATGCCAAAAAAAAAAAAAAAAACAATCCCCTTAACGAAACTGCCATCCTGACACCACTGCCAGCCTAAGTTACAACTGCCTTTTGAAACTCAGGCCATGACAAAGTTGCAGACTCGTGTTATTTTTGCCCATTACAAACTCCCATGTGACATAAACGTACTTCCTTCAAAAAAAAATCATCGACACATATAGGGCCTCGCTCCACTACTCTTCAGATGCACAAAAGACGAAAATCATGACGGTGTATTCACTCTCGTTTTGCCCATTTCGAGAGTAGTCGAGCGAGGCCCATAGCACCCCAACACAAGAGAACCACCACAGCTCAAAACGGCTCAAAAAAAGACGATTATCATACACCTATGGCATGCACCGAAAGTATCAAACATCAATGTTCAATTCAATACAAGCAGCTATGACGCAAAAAAGACGAAGAAGAAGAAGAAGAAGATGAAGAAGCTATGGCGCCGAGCCACTTCTGTACGGCACGTCTTCCCAAGTTGAACGTGTTTGTGGCGCTTTGTGTTGGTGCCAGATCCAGCGTTATCAGCAGGATAAGAGATGTGTGTGTGTGTGTGTGTGTGTGTG